TCATTTAGAACAGGGCCTGGCAAATTTCGTCCCACTCACTTAATCTGGCCTGTCACCTGCTTTTTCAAATAAAGTTTTATTGGAACCCACCCATGCTTATTCATCTATGTATTGTCTATAGGTCTTTTCCTGCTGCAGTGGCAGAGTTGAGTATTTGCAACAGAAATCGTATGTCTCGCAAAGCCTAAGACATTTATTAATCTGGCTCCTCACCAAAAAAGGTTGCTGATCCCTGCTTCAGAGAAATGGGCTAGGCTTATTTCTGGTTCACTTTTACACTAAAGATGTAGTCTTTTGGGGTCTGCTTTAATCTGCTGCCCTTGGCTTTTGTCTCCGGTCCTCAGCACCACGCATAAAAGCCGAAGCTCACATTCACACAGTTTGGTAAATGTCTTCAAGGAGAAAGCCTGCTGCAGTGCTCACCTTACCTCTGCGGGTTCCTGCTTTCCCTTTAGTTTTGGCCTCTGATTATACCTTATTTTCTTGCCATCACCTTGATTTGGTTATATTTTCCCACCTTTAGTTATTTTCAGTGAGAGTTATTTAAAAGATTGTTCTGCCATCTAGGAAATAGATGTTACGTTCCTGTTATCCGTGATTTTAAGGCATTTTGATATTTTGGCCTTCTGTGAACCATGAGAGCTTCTGTAAGCTCTTTTCTCGTGAAGCAGAATTTCCTCCTTGCATTATTGTGTGTTAATCACAACACTTAATATTTCGCATTCATTCTTGGAAATGGCATGCTATGGAAAATAACGAGACAGAAATTATTAAAATTATTCTGTAGCATATTTGTTGTAAATTAGATAGGAAACATCTTAATGATGCATTTAGTGTGTTGAACTGTTGGCAAATGGGAATCCCCATCTAAGCAGATGCTGCTTTATTTCTTGGCAAGCAGAAACTGAATGAAAATTGAGAAGTGCCATGGGATTTCTCTTTGTTTCTAGTATTCTCAGAAAGGAGATTTTAAAATGTGGTCCATCAAATAGCCTTTTTCTAGGCTGGGCAATTACAAACCTATAACTGCCCTGACTTACAAATGCCTCTGTGAACGCCTCCTAGCTTCTGTTACAGGAACCACCCTCTACTCTCTCACCGTAATACTCTCTGTTAGGTCTTCCTGTTCCCTTCCCTTCCTCTTTTCCTGACAACAAAGGTTTTACTTCCGCCTGGACCTCCCAACTCCTGCCACTGTCTCCTCTCCTTAGCACAGTTCAAGTCCTGGCTGTGGGTTACAGTGGGAGAGAGAAGGAAAGGGTCCGTACCTGCTCTAGGCCCCTCTCCTGTATGCACACAAGACCCTACCTAAATGCCATGAGCTTAGGCATGCCCCTGAAATACACAGGAGTGTGCAGATACTAAGTTCCCATACCAGAGAACCACCATTATCACCAGAGCATTCCTTGATTTATAGGGGAAAGGGCATGCTATATTAGAAGGAACTGGATTATTGAATCTTAGAGCTACCCTTTACAACTTACATGGCCTGGAGCAAGTCATCTCACGTTTCTGGGTCTGTTTCTTCATCTGTTCAATAGGATTTAATGCTTGCTGCCTTGTAAAGTAGTAGTATAGTAAATAACAGATATGAAAGTGGGTAGCACAGTGGCATGTAGTAGCTGAACAGGAAATGCTCATTTCCCTTCCCCAACAGGATGTAAGTTACAAAAGAGGAGAAAAAGAGAGCTTTTTATCCTCCTTTATTTTTATAAGCAGTAAAAACTTTAGAAAACCTAAATTACTTCAAAGGTAGAAAAATGAGTAGGAAGAGCAGCTGTGGAAAAGGGAAAGACCCATGGTGAAAGAAACATGAAGACAATAGAAAGGAAAGGTACCATGGCCAACCTTCAGCTTTCTGTCTTTATAGTTCGTTTGTAATTACTCTGTATAGTTGTCATTTTTGCACACCTCCTAGTGCTTGTAGGAAATTGGCCATGACCACGACCACTGTTTTCATTCATCTGGTGAATGTTCTTATTTAAATCTCCATTTTATTTTGGGTTTTCAGAGAGTCATTCATCTTAAAGTTGCTTTTGACAAGCCTTTCTAGAAATATTCTGTATTGACTTTTAGATTTTTATAAATTTTTTGTTTAGGAAGGTGAACCTTCTGGAAAGAGAAAAGCAGAAGATGATGATAAATCAAATAAAAAGCATAAGAAGTATGTGATCAGTGATGAAGAGGAAGAAGATGATGATTAAGTACAAAATGTGAAAACATTTTATATATTTTGTACAGTTTGTTTTATAAATACGATGTAAACATGAGTTATTTTGATTGAAATGAATTGATTTGCTTTTGTGTAATTTTAATTGTAATAAAAAATTTAAAAAACAAGTCTCTGTTCAAGAAATCAGCTTTTCCCACAGCAAGTTGATTTTGTTACCGCTTTACATTGTCTTAGGCTTTAGTGAATTTCTGCTGCTCTGCCCCACCCACTTCCTCCTACCCTCCACAAGGAAGCCTCCTGGCCAGGGTCAGGTGAGGCATTTTTCTGGGGTGCAGAATTTAAAGGGACACACACACACAAAAGCCTTCATAATTGTATTAGTTTGCTAGGGCTGCTGTAACAAAATACCACAACCTGGGTGACTTAAAACACTGAAATGTATTCTGTAGTTCTGGAGCCCAGAAGTCCTAAATCAAGGTGTCAGCAGGGCCGTGCTTTCTCTGAAGTCTCCAGGGAAGAATCCTTCCTTGCCTCATCCTAGCTTGTAGGGATTCCCACCTATCCTTAGTTTGTGGCAGCGTAACTCCAACCTCTGCCTTTGTCTTCATATGGCCTATTTCCCTGTGTGCCTGCTCTGTGTATCTCTAGATCTCCCTCTTTAGATGGATACCTGTCAATGGGTTTAGGGCCAACCCCGATCCAGTATGACCTCATCTTAACCAATTACATCAGCAAAGACTCTACTGCCAAATAAAATCACATTCTGATGTTCTGAGTGGATATGAACTTGGGGGGAGGGGTCCCTATTCAGCCTACTGCAGTAATCAAGATAAATAATATTGTAATGTAACATTTTAAAAAACTAAAATTAATGTAAAATAATCCATAATAAAATGTCAACATTTTATGTAAATACAGGATCTGACAGGGCTGGGATTAAAGTAAGGCCAAGTGAGAGTTACACAAGTACAACTGGATGGATGCTCTATTTAAAACCTGACATTTCATGGGTTTTTTGCATGGAATTTACAAAATATTGTATTGCAGTCCGTAAGAAAGAATGAAATTTTGCTATTTGTGACAACATGGATGGATCTAAATATAATGCTAAGTGAATTAAGTCAGAGAAACAAATACCATATGATCTCACTTATATATGGACTCGAAACAAAATAAAAAATAAAAAAATATATTGTATTGCAATATTATTTATCTTGATCACTGAGATTTTGGCACCCCTTATAGTTTTCACAGGAAGTGGTCCTGGCCCTGCTTTCTCAGCATGGTGGCTGGGTTCCAAAGGTGAGCACTGCAAGTGAGTAAGACAGGTGAAAGTTGTATTACCTTCTCTTGCTATTACCTTTTCTGGCTAGAATCGAAAGAGCAAAATCCACTGTGTTCTGTTTATTAGAAATGCATCACTAATGTGAGCCCACATTCAAGGGGAGGGAAATTTGACTCCTTGATGGAAGGAATGGCAAAGAATTTGTGGATATAGTTTAAGTCCACCACTTGTCTTTTCTGCGATGCTCTTCTACATACACTGATCTTCCCCTTATGAATGAACTCTACCCCACTTCCTTCCTAGTGCTGTTAGTACAATCTGGGAGCAGTGGCGGTGGGAGGCTCACCCTGAAGCCTGGTTATAGAAAAAGGAAAGGCATGGCGAAGAAGGTTCCGAATCACCATTGTGTCCCTTTCTTAACTCAAAAACCGTCAGCTCCTTGCATTTCTTGGCTTACCAAGTTAAAACTGCCATGTGCGGCTTTTAAGAGCCTTCATTCTGACTCTTCTTTCCAAGGCAATGTAGTTCTTTTTTTACTAGTAGACGCTTCGGTGTCAGTAATTAAGCTCTTATCTCTTTCCAAACCCACCCTTCTATACCAAGCCTGGCAATGGCTGGAGCCACACTACATTTCAACGTTGCAAGCTGGTCCCTGTTAGGGGGCGCTACAGAAAGATGAAGCTTGGATAACAAAGAAAAGTTTACTCCTTCCTGTTTGTTTATGAAACTTTCTGGGGGCTTCCTGTTGACTGACAGTTCGAAGGGGGCGAACCAACACTTCTTCACCCCAGCGGAAGCAGTTCCTTCCCACAGCAGCTCAATCCAATTTGCAGTTTTACCGACACTTGGAGAGTCCGCTTCATTGTACGCGCCACCCCCTCCCCCCCACAGACATCAGTACCAGCTGGATACTTCCTCAGGTAAGAGTTTCAGCTCCAAGAGGCCCTTTCTGTAACTTTTTAAGTTTAATAACTCCACCTCTTGTTCCCTCACCTCTAGGAGTGGAAGTTACTCTAAATTTGCTACTTCTGTGATTCCCTTCCACGTTTTTATACTTTTTGTAACCTAATTACAATTTTTATATTCTGTCTGTGCAGTCAACTGGTATGTTTCCTGCTGCCCATCTAGGACCTGACCGGGTAGTGCAGGAAAAGAAAATCCTCAAAGATGAGATTTGTAGATTGGTTTGGGTTTAAATGCAGGTCTGAGCTCCTCACCAGAGGAAAAGGGATGCTGGTGATCCACCACTGCGTGCAGTGGCGTTGTGCTGAATCCAGTTACCTAATCTCTATGGGTGAGGGCTCAAATGGCTGCTCGGCAGTAATGACTAAGGCTGCAGTGTGGAATGGATACTTCTGAGTTCCCTGGAGCACTTATAGAATGAAATTAACAAGCTCAGGTCTTTTAAATGTTCAGCTCAAGTCATGGTCAGAGAATCTGAGCTTTCATGACAGCCCTAAAAGAATCAGGTATCTTGTAGTCAGAGGGCTAATGTAGCTGGGAATCAAACACATTTGCGTAGTTGTAGAATTACCACATCACAGCCTCTTCAAGTCTTTCATGTGACAGTGCATTTGATTGAGAAAGAAACTAGGCATAGGGAAAATCTGTTTGGTCTCCGATAAGCTGAAAAAACCCCTCAAATCTTCCTAGTCACCCCGAGCCTGCCTGTGAGAAGCAGCTTGCCTCTCTACGTCTGAGGAAACTAGTCTTATTTGAAAATGTAATATCATCTGGGACAGTTTCCCTTCTCGACTCATTCAACTTGAGTGCTGTCAGACCACTTTTTACCTGTAGACCCATCACTCCTAGTGATGATCGTCACACTGGTAAAGAAAACACAAACTGACTAAAGGAGAAATAGCTTATACACCAAAAGAATTACAAAATTTTGCTAACAAATATAGGCAGAAGCCTGGGAAATATGTGTGGAAGTGGATTATAAAGCTGTGAGATGAAGGACAGAGTATAACACTAGTTTGGGCCAAATATGTTAGCACATATAGCTGGACATGGCTCTGTGAGGTCTGAATTAAGTTCGCGAACTTGCCACCATGTGCTTACATTGGCAGCACTGCAAACAGCTCGGTAAGGTTTCATAACCTTGGTATATAAGTGTCTCACAGCTGTGTTCATGTTGACATGTGACAATGTCTTGCTGAGTAGCGTTCATTATTGTTGCATGTTTTTTTTTTTAACTTTATTGGAGAACAATGTATTTTTTTGGGGAACAATGTGTCTTTTCCAGGACCCATCAGCTCCAAGTCAAGTTGTTGTCCTTTAATCTTAGTTGTGGAGGATGCAGCTCAGCTCCAAGCCCAGTCGCCCGTTTTCAAGGGGGGCGCAGCTCACTGGCCCATGTGGGAATTGAATTAGCAACCTTGTTGTTCAGAGCAACTGAACCATCTGAACTCTAACCAACTGAACCATCTGGCTGCCCTGGTGTTGCATGGTTTTGTGTGCCACCGCAAGAATGTCTGATTTGAATTATAGCAACGAACAAACGTTAAACTTGGCAAGAATGGAATTGAAATCGGGGACATGTTAGTCCAAGTTTATGGGGATGATGCCATGAAGAAAATGGCATTGTACAAATGGATAATGTTTTACTGAGGGGAGAGAACGCGTCACTGATGAGGAGAGGTCAGGGTGGCTAGTAATGAGCAGAACTGACGAAAACATTGCAAAAATTCATTGAATTGTGCGTCAAAATCATCAGCTGACTGTAAGAAGCCTGGCGGACCAAGTAAACATCGATAGAGAAACAGTTAAGAAAATCTTAACTGAAAACCTTGGCATGAGAAAGGTGTGTGCTAAAATGGTCCTGAAGGAGCTTACCGATGAACAAAAGCAAGTTTGCCAAGACCTTTTGGAGAGGCAAGACGATGTTTTGGGTTATCACTGGTGTTGAAACATCCTTGTAACAATACGACCCTGAAACAAAGCATCAAAGTTCACAATGGGAGTCAGCAAATTCTCCATACCAAAAAAGTTCCATCAGTCCACATCAAGAGTCAAAATGATGTTGCTAACCTTTTTGGATATCAGAGGGAATATTCATTATGAATTTGAGTCAACTGGACAAACAGTTAACCAACTTTACTAGTTGGAAGTGTGAAAAAGCAGCATGAAAAAGTTAGATGAAAATGACCTGAACTTTTCACCAACAACTCATGGCTCTTGCATCATGACAATGCACCAGCTCACACGGCACTGGCTGTGAGGGAGTTTTTAGCCAGTAAACAAATGACTGTATTGGAATACCTTCCCTACTCACCTGATCCAGCCCCCAGTGACGTTTTTCTTTACCTGAAGAGAAAGGAAATATTGAAAGGAAGACATTTTGATGCCATTCAGGACCTCAAGGGTAATACAATGACAGCTCTGATGGCCATTCCAGAAAGAGTTACAAATTGCTTTGAGGGGTGGACTAGGCACTGGCGTTGGTGCGTAGCTTCCCAAGGGGAGCACTTCAAAGGTGACCACAGTGATATTCAGCAATGAGGTGTGCAGCACTTTTTCTAGGATGAGTTCTTGAACTTAATTGTCAGACCTCATATGCTTGGTTGGTTATCTAAAATAAATTCAATGGTTGTCTCCATTTAATGAAGTTGCGATGCCCACGCTTCCCTGGCATTATGTGTAGGGAATCCAAACGCTGAGAGAAATAACCTGTATACCAACCCTCACCTTCTCCAACTATACCGCCTGAGAGGGCCAGCTAAAAACAGCAAACATTTAATATATCTCACAGTTTCTGAGGGGCAGATGGCTTAGCAGGGTGGTTCTGGCTCAGGGTCTCTCCCGAGGCTGCAATCAAGACATTGGCTGAGACTGGATCATTAATGGCTTGCTTAGGGCCAAAGGATCTTTTTCCAAGATGGCTTGCTGACATGGCTCTTGGCAGGAGGCCTCAGTTTCTCAGTACATGAGCATCTCCATTGCAGTTTGAGTGTCTTCACATCATGGCAGCTGGCTTTCTCCAGAGCAAGTGAGCCAGGGGAGAAACAGCGAAGCAGAAAAGTCACAATGTCATGCACTAGCCTGGAAAGTGAGGTGATATTCTGTTGATGACACAGACCAACCAGAATGCAATGCTGGAGGGGACTACACAAGGGCAAGAACACCAGGGGAAGGGATCATTGGAAACCATCTTGAAAGCTAGCTGTTACCACAGCTTTTCCTTCTACCAACCAACTTTGTCACCTTCCTTCATAAATGCTCTTGTCAGGTTTCTGAGGGCCAGGCTCAGGGAGTCAGTTTGCGGTTAGTTTTGTGGAGATTTGGTTTATGGATCTTGGGGCTATGTTGAAGTGATAGGCTAAGAACTATGTGAAGAACTTTTCAGAGAAATTAATACTGTGCATTTTCCCCAAATGTCAAAGGTTATAGTGGAACCATGGATGTGTTTGGAGACATAGGTGACATTTCCTCAGAGAGTGCTGATGACAATCAACCACCTATTCCAGGACAGCCTGTTGTAAGTACCAAAACTAACCTCCATGGTCCTATTGTTCAAAGCTAAGAAAAAAGTTGCAGAAGCTGATAGGTCTGACTCTCACATGGAGAGAGCACCTGGATATCTGAGTAGCAGTCTGAAATACCTAATGAATGGGTGACTTTCTTAGCTCTGTTGAGAATTTCTAGATATTAGAGGGCATAGAAAGAGCTGCTCAGAATGAGGTTGATGTCAAACTAGGGGCTAGACTGTGAGGACTTGAAGCTTGAAAACCTTTGATTTGAAAGTTATTCAAACCTGTGCCAAGAAGTTTGTGCTATTTGGCATTCTTCTCTGATTTTAATAGTTACTTAGCCTTGAGGGGCTGCATAATTGCACACTTCTATTGCTAAATATCTTATGCAAACTAGTTATGTCAGCAAAATAGACATTTTTTTCAGGTAATGCAGGCTAACAGCTCGATTCCCATGGTGGTTTGTTTTTTTCTTTCTGTTTTTGCAGGGGGAAGAGGATGAAATTTTAGGGAGAGGCCTTGGAGGGGTTGCTCACTGCTTTATCCCTAAACTTGGTGTTTAAATTTACATCTGCCTATGGCAGAGGAAAGCTAGAGCATTCTAATGTTACTTCAAGTTCTCACATTCTGATTCTTCTTTTAGGATGAATGTGGATTGCCTCAGGACCAGCAGGGGGAAAAGCCGATTTCTGAAACCACAATAGAAGTAGAAATTCCCAGTATCAATCGTGATTTAGGAAATGAATTGTTCTTTGTTAAGCTACCCAAATTTCTCATCATAGAACCCAAGTAAGAGGTCTTATAAAAGTTTTCTTTTTTTCAAGGTATTAAATAAAAATATATAGAATGTAAATGTTTTTTTCTTATTACGAGTTGGCTATGACAAAGATGGGAGATTTCTCATGTAAATGAAAAAATAAGTTTAGGATGTGCTGTGGTAGAAATATGATGAATTATTCTGTGATGGGGTTTTAATGCTAATAATTCTTCTAGGATTTTGGCATTTTTTAATAAACAAACAGACATCACAGTTGAGGAAGCATTTTTCATTAGTGTAAAGCTTAAAAATCGGAAAATGAGAGTGAGAAAGTTTGCTAGAGAAATCATAAATATTCAGTGCAAAAGCCATCGTGAATCTAGAAAAGCCAGTGATTTTGGACAACAAAAAAGTGTTGATTGGTATTACTTACAGAGGTGCACAAATATAAGCTCTTGTGCAATTAAACACACTTTTCTTAAAAATATATAAAGATAGATCATGTGTCACTTATACTTTAGAAGACATTTTATCAAACAAAGAAGACTAAACTATTAGTCACATTTGGTTTTTATTTCATATTTTTAAAATCAAATTTCAAGAAACTACAGTAATTTTCATATTTCCTTGAAGTTTTTACATGAAGGGATTTGCGTACTGTGATATTTTAAACATATTGGTGGGTGTTGTAAAGATTATTTTATAGTATTAACCATATTCATTACTTAATATGGCTAATATGACATTAAAAAACAATTTTTAGACCTTTTGATCCTCAATATTATGAAGATGAATTTGAAAACAAGAAAGTGCTTGATGAGGAAGATAGAACCAGGTTAAAATTAAAGGTATCATTCCATTTTATTCCTTTTTAAAAAAAAAAGTTTTTCCTTTTATAAAGTAAAATGCTGGAATAATAACTTGAGCTTATGTAACAATCTTTTATGTGTACTGTTCAGTCAACAAATAACTGTTTAAAACAAGGAATTAAATGTCTTTTTAGAATATTTTTAGGGGAGAAGGTACATAACTTTTTTTTTAATCCCTGTAGAAACTGTCACTTTTCTAACCTTTTATTTGCAGTTGTAATTTTTCAACAGAAGAAAAGATAAAAATCCTTGAAAATTGCTAGCCACTTCCTTCAGGATAATAATGTGACTTTGTAATGGAACTGCCTGCACATTTTATAGTGCATAGATCCTAGCAACTTCCCACAATAAGAATATCTCATGCTCTTTCTGGAAATTCAGATTATGCACAAAAAGAGGCCTTGTCATTAGGTAGTTCTGCTAGAGATGGCCTGGGATGGCAAAGCACTGCCATTCCTCTCACAGGGATGTCAGTTTCTTAAACGGGGTTTCATATGTGCTTCTGCCAGGGACCCCAGCGGTAGCAGTGGGCAGGATCTACTTGTATGTCCCTTTTGTGATTTGGAGTTCCCTACCTGATGGGTAAGGTAAATCTGAACTAAAAAACACAGGGCAAAACACGTGTCAGGTTTTATTTTGTTGTTAATTACTTGTTTAGTCTTTAAAAAATGTTTTTAATGTAATGCCCAGAGCTTCCTTGTCTTATTAAGAGAACGGGCACTTTTCAGTCCCTACTTCATTGGACTCATAGCACTTCACACGGCCCTGCAGTAGGCAGAGGGCTGTTTTAACTGCTCGCCTCATGTGGACCCAAAGCCTTACCCTCTCCCCTTTGGAGCTCTTGCTGTGTCTAGTAACACCTCCATCCTTCATCCTACTTAGCTTCTGCTTCCACTACTGTGAACTGGGGCTCAGAAAAGATTTAAACAAAATGTCTGGTGAGTTTAACGAATATCTCTAGGTACTTGTAGCAGGAGAGTTTCAGTGTGGCCCCATCAGCTAGCTAGCTAGTTATTGATTGATTGATTTATAAGCTTATTCTATCACTATCTATGAATTCTTGGCACACGATTATAAGTCACTTAAGAAAAACAGAACGTTCCGTTTGTCTCGGTGGTTTTCTAATGCCTTTGTATTTTGAACCAGGTAGAAAATACTATACGATGGAGGATACGCCGGGATGAAGAAGGAAATAAAATTAAAGAAAGCAATGCTCGGGTAATCAAGTGGTCAGATGGAAGGTGAGCACAAAATGCCCGAACAGTGTTGGAATATCCAGGGGGAGGCCTGGGATGAGGGTGAACTTTTCTGTGTGGGACCTGATTTGGGAGTCATCTTTTATTAAACAGTGAACAAACTCTAGGCCTCTGACATTACCTGGGAAAGCTGAGAGAAATAAATAGGTTTGCGATCATACTGCTGCGCTGGTGGGAGACTCTAGAAATGGACCAAGATGTGATTAAATTCATGGTATCTATGTATTGAGGTGTATTTATGTATTTAGCTCCCATGTGTGAACGATTAGACATCATACACTGATATTTTTTAAAACTTGTTTCCGTTTTACTAATAAATTGGTAGAGATTGGGAAAATGACAAAAACTATATTTCAAAAGTTGAAAGGAGAGTGGATTTTTACCACCTTTTGCTTTGAAAAGGAGATAGTTATTTACGGTATCTTTTCTTTGTTTTTCTTCAGAATTCAGTAATAGAACAGGGCTCTGCAGTTCCATGGCATTTTAAGGGAAGCTGACAGGGTAGAATGGAATCTAGGGAGGGGTTCCCTAGCCGCCCTAATAACTGAGCTGTTCCTTGTTTGCAGCCTGTCCCTGCATGTAGGCAGTGAAGTGTTCGATGTCTACAAAGGCCCAGTGCAGGGCAACCATCTCCAACTGTTTGTTAGAGAAGATACTGGTCTACAGGGACAAGCCGTCTTTAAATCCAAACTCACCTTTAGGTAACTATTCATTACTGACGGATTCTTATTTGCAGTTGAAGAGTAACAAGGTTGAGAGGTTGTTCCTAAAACCCGACTCAGCCCTGATGATGTAATTCCGAGGTACAGTTCACCAAGGACCCCATATGATTTAGCACTTTCCTGCGAGTTGCTGTTTTCTCAGGAAGCCAGTTCATGCTACCAAATCTCATAAGACTGCTCTATAAACCAGAAGAGCGGTGTGCTGATTCACCTTGATCAGTGTACCTTGTTAAAGGCCCAGAAGGCTTGTCTGGGCCTTTTTGCTGGTTAGCGTGTCCTTCCCTTTACTGAAATTTCCCTGGGAAGCTAGCTGATCATGAGAATGTGGGCTGTGTGCGTGCAGTAGAGGAAAGGCAAGAGCTGGGTGGTGTGGCTTCCAGCCAACACGTGCTCAGTGCTGTGCACAGCTGTGCTGTGGCCCCTCCCCTGGGTGCTGTACAGTCCGCTCCCCCCCACACACACACCTCCCCTCAGAAGGACCTGGTCCTGCTGTCCTCCTGGTAGCTGTCCTTGAGAAGCGGGCCACTTAAAAGACTGTAACAGTGCGCACAGGGTTTTTCCTAACAGGTCACGAGAAAGCCCTCAAATCAGATTGTGATGATGGTTGCGCAACTTTGTAAATTAAAGTCGTTTGTGTATTAAAATGGATGCGTTTTATGGTATGTAAATTATACTTGATAAATCTGTTGCTCTATTTTAAAGATTGCAATGGACAGCTCTGAGGTCACGTTTGACTTCTGTCTGTGCAAGCTTGAGCAAGCATCTCGATCTCACTCAGTTTTAGTTTCCTTATCTATAAAATGGAGATAATCACATCCACCTCAAAGGGACATTGTATCAACTACATCAATTAATACATAGAACATTATGTAGGGCAGAGACCTGACACAGTAAGTGTTGCTCAAACCCAACCTCTTAATAATCTCTTCTAGAATAGCCTCCTAAAAGACAAGGAGTTCTACAGCGTGCTATTTTTCATTGTGCCCCATGCTCCATATTGGGATAACATTTGACTGCCCAGCACAATTTCACTCCTAAACGTCCTATCTCTCTACAGCCATGCTCTTCTTCAGCGACTCTCTGAAGGACCATCCTTTCTTCTGATGTACTTAAAATCTGCCTTCCTTTAGTAGCAATGCACTGCTTTCTGCGCTAGGGCCTCCTGTTCTGTTATTGGCCCTGAGCTGTCAGGCGTGCCCGACCTTCACTGTGACCTGCCTCCTTGCTTTGACCTTCCTTCCAATTTTATTCACACGGACTCATTTCAGTTCTTAAATTGTGCCTTCTGGCCTCTGTGTCTCCCTCATGGAACAGATTTCATATTTCTTCCCTCTGTGATTGTAGTCAGGGGTTTTCTTTGTAAAACCCCTTGACTGTGCCGCTCCTCCTCCCTTCCAGTCTCATTTCACCCGTCAGCTCTTCCAGGGAGGTGGGGCAGAGGGAGGGGCTTCCTGGGGCCCCAGAGAGTGAGGGAGGTTCAGAAACACCAGGCCCCGCCTCCCTGCTCTGCTCAAGGGGAAGTGGTCATTGTCCACACTGTGCTGGATGATTGCCTCCAAATGTTCTTAGTCAACAGATGTTTTTGTCCACTTTTCGGCAGACCTCACTCTGTAGGCTGTGCCACACATAGAAAGATGACTCTGCCACTTGCTAATAGAGGCTCAGGGACACAGAAGATTAGAATCTTGCCCATTGCTGGTTGTGATCCTGAATGCCAACACACAGAAAAGATTAAGGTATGTTGGCTACACTTTATCCTGGGATTTTTTTTGGATATTAAGAGCTATACTGTCCAGAATATCAGTTCACCATTTTTTGCCACAGCCAGTTTATTTCTTGTAGTTATCAGGGAGTGGTTAACCATAGTAATGTCATTTGTCAGTGGCCTGCTGAGAAATAGCAAACCAGACACTCAGGCGTTCTCTTCATCCTATGAAATTTCAGAGGAAAACTGGTAATGTAAAAAATGTAGCCTTTGACAGATATCACAGAATTGTGTTAGCCAGATAGGAAGTAATATAGGAAATTCAAAAGGACATTTCTTTTTTTTTTTT